ATTTAAGTTTTGACTAAAAGGTAATCAAAACAATATGTCAAAATAATATCAACATCCGGGGATAAATTAAGGGTCACCGGAAGGGTCAGCATGCAGTTATCGTTTCATTAATGGCACCAGTTGAAAGTATTATAATATCCCCTTTTTTCCGTAAGTGGTATTTTGCTAGTAGTTTTAAGTTAAACATCAAATGGTTGACGATATACTTTAGTGGTATAATATTCATAAACAACCTTGCATTAGCATTAAAGAAATATTCATGACATATAAAGATGTGGGTCATAATGATGTTTATTTTCATTATTTCGAGAATTTATATGATAAAGGTAGATTATGTGATTGTTGCTGTTAAATTCATTCACAACGTGTAAAGACTTGGACCAGGATCTTCTAATCCTTTCGGAGCACCTGACAACCCCCGCCCCCTTTTTTTCGTTTTTGGTGGGGTTCTAGTTGCTCAGTCTTTAGTTTTCAATTTGTCTTCGATTTATGAATTAGGATATCCCTTCAGTATCTCCAGCCTCTCTTTTAAAAGGTATGTATACTTTACATGTTAAAGCTTTATAAAAGAGAAGCGAAATATACCAAAGGGACATTTAAACTCATAAGTCGAAAATAAACTTACAACGCCATGGCTAAAAAAGAAAAAGACAAACAGACAAACAAAAAACCAACAGTATATGAAACAGAAAACTAAAGACTGAGCATCATGAACCCCACCAAAAACATAAAAAGGGTGGGATGTCAGGTGCTCCGGAATGTTTAGAAAATCCTGCCCCAAATGGTTAAGCATTACCACGCATTAGCGGATTGATAATTAACTCTCATCTAGCCCTAAGAAAAGTTATTCGTGGAAAATTAAACAGGTGAATCCAGATGCACTTTTATATCTAGCTATATTATAACTGCTAGAATTTGATGGTCGATATATCTTTTTCAGAACATAATTAAGACAAAAATGAATCGAAATATCGTTTCAGTAAACTATTGTAATGACTTTAAGAACTCAAGGTGTCTAGAAGGACATTCATATCATCTTTAAATATCATATGCTTGTTTTCATCTCCTCTTTTAAGCAGGTGCCATTAAAGAGAATTGTAGAAGGACCATGGGTGCATAAGCCGAGTTACAATCTTTATGGATTTATTGTTGTTACTTTGACTTTCATTTAAACATATTTTATTTGTTATTACATATAACAAAAAGGATCAGACACAAGTTATTACAACTTAGATAGTCCTCTCCTAAATATAATAAGTTATATATATATAAAGTAAAGACACGCAACAACAACATTAGATAATTATGGATTCGTACAATAGTTATAAAAAAAGAATGTTCACAATTTCTCAAATAGATAAACAACAGTCCTACGTCAAAAAGCTTATTCATTGACATACAAAACTATATCAGTTAAAAAAAATATCTTTCTAAAGGTGTATCCGTTCACTTTTCCGAATAAAATGCAAAACCTTATTATTGCAACAGTGAAATTTTATATTCTGAAACGGGTTGGGAACCTTTGTCCGAAAGAAGAAACCGAAAAAAAACTTCAGTTGTTTTACAATACTTTGACTTTTGGCCCAGTATCTCCAAAATCAAACGGGATGTTTGCCATCTGAATGGGGCAGTATAAAATCAAGTTTTGTTAAAGTTGAACATTTTATTAATAAGATAACATTCGGAAACAAACATTTTACCAACATTTCAGAGTGGCAATAGCTGATGTGACCTTAATAGTCTTTTAACCTATTGACCTGAAAATAAAAAAGGGCTGTGTTAAAATATAACATCCAGAAACCAAACTTGTACCAACATTCCCATCTATGAATAGCTGCTTTGACCCTGGGGCATTATCGAACTAAGTTAGGTAGAGGCTGGTCATATGGTTCAAATATCAACATACGGAAACCAAAAAGTCGACAATTGTTTAGTCTATTAATATCTGTTTGGAACTTGACCAAAATTCAATAGGGATGTTCCTCATACCACATTTCGTAAAGATAGTCTTAAACAGTCTCAAATCAATTTGTCCGGAAGCTGAAATGTTGTCGCTCAGACAGCCAGGCGTCATACAACTTAATATAAGCCGGGTTAAACTTCGTCGTAACTCAGCTAAAAATAACGTATGAATTTGGTTTCTTTCCCGATTGTCCCACTTTTTATAATTTTAGAATTCTGATTCTTCCAATTAAAAAGTTCCGATTGTCCCATATTATTTTATTATGTTAAATGGTCTTTGAAGGTTTGGTACCATTTAAAAGTCTAAACTCGCTGCAATTGTTTGCACCTGTCTTAAGTCAGTAATCTGATGTTCAGTAGTTGTCGTTTGTTAATGTGGTTCATAAGTGTTTCTCGTTTCTCGTTTTTTATATAGATTAGACCTTTGGTTTTCCCGTTTGAATGGTTTTACACTAGTAATTTTTGGGGCCCTTTATAGCTTCTTGTGCGGTGTGAGCCAAGGCTCCGTATTGAAGACGGTACTTTGACCTTTAATGGTTTACTTTTATAAATTGTGACTTGGATGGAGAGTTGTCTCATTGGCACTCATACCACATCTTCTTATATCTATATACAATGTAATTGTCAGTGTATGTTTTGTAATAGGAAATTAAAATAAATCATTGCATGAACATACTAGTAGTTTGTATCAATTTTATACATGTAAATATGAATTGTTGAATAAATCATCAGTGATTAAACAATATAATACATCTGTTATAAACTATATCTATAACGTTAGGTCTATTTATGAATCAAATATCAATGTTTTTTTTATAATTTTATAGTTGCTATATAAATTTTAAACACATGCAAGCACTTTTCTTCTTTTCGTTTTCTATACAATGTATGAGCGCACAGATAAATGTTTCCCAGTAATGTCATCAGTGTCATCTGAACATTATACAATTTTATTTAAAAAAATTAACTGATTGCTGTAAAAATTCCAGTGGCAAGTTAAAGGCAGGACTAGAATATGTTGATGTTAGAAGATTATTTAACCTTATTTGAAACAAACTAGACTCCGTGTTGAAGGCCGTACTTTGACCTATAATTGTTTACTTTTTACACATTGTAACTTTGATGAAGAGTTGTCTCATTGACACTCATACATGTACCACATCTTCTTATTTATATATAGACCGACACATCAAGTCGGGTTTTTAACGTGATACATGTAATTCATAGTTTTGGTCCATGGGTTTTTTGTTTTCCTTGGACGTAGTATGTTTCCTTTTTGTGCATTCGTAGATTATTTAATTACAAACTAGACCATCACAGTCATATAAAAGTATAAAAGTCTCAATTTGGATGAAATTTTGTTTATTTTTACAATTACTCAAAAATGGTGACTATAAAGACTATTTGCATATTAACCCATTCATTTAACAATTTATTAAATAATGTACATGTAGGTACTATATCCTGTAAGTAAATTATGTCCGTTTGCAACACTAGGTTGGATCACTAGATCATCCGGTTCGGACGCTACTTCTTTTAACTCGAATACATCAATCGAATTGAAAGGATTGAGCGTACTTCCGATTGGCTGTTCATTTGATAAGAATGAAATGGCATGTACCAAGAATAAGAAGAATACGAGTGTATCTTATAAAATACGTGAAGACAGAAAAAAAAGGATTTTTCTAAATATTTGACAGCAGTTTTCAAACTTACGTTTCTTTTGTAGAGTATGTGTTAACAATATTACGTACATGTATGAAAAACATATATTGTTTTTGTTTTTTTTTTTTTTGGGGGGGGGGGGGTTTATTTGTGTGTGGAATAAACACAATTAATACTTTAAAACCCATGCCAAAACAAATGAAAGGCTACATGACGAGTTGCGCGATCAGCTTAAAATTTTACCAATTATTTTTCATTTTTACCCACTGAATATGTAATTATAATCATGATAGGAAAGGAAGGTTCATTGCCATGCCCAAACCTTCAAAACAATTAAAATAAACGATTTCATGTTTTCTCCGGAAGTCATACATGTACGGATGTGTATATATAGTATGAAAATATATTGTTTCAATTATTATTCTTATCTTTATAATTCATTTCGCCTCTTTTCGCAATGGTTTCTTCAGTCGTTTTATATAGGTAATACTGTGTACAATTTTAAACAAATCATAAAACGTCCTCAATAAAATTATAAATTTAAGTATAGTTTTTGGAAGTTAACAATTCCAAAACGGATGCAAATGACTGATTGATTATGATTTTGAAAGAATTTCTCAACAGCTGAAAAAGTCACGATTCTTTTTATTTCTAAAAAGGACAGGTTCAAACTGAAACAATTTTTGTTACATCCTTATACATTTTCATAGTGACCACATGCCTTCGTGTGAATTAACCAAATGTTGCACATGTTTGTTCTTTTGTGAAAATTTCTATTAAATATGAAAAGGGCGGGACACCAGCTTGGACAGGTGTTGCGTGTTGCTATTCGTCTGTCGCGCGCTGGCCACGAGCTTCTTTGTTTGTTAAGTTTATGAAAATTGATATTGATTTCATTTTAGAATGACTCTTAAATTATTTATTTTGTAAAACGAAAGCTTAGTAATAGTTTATGATTCATTGATTGGATAAAAATGAAAAATATTCGTAACGCAAAGAATAATGACTTTACATGGATTTTTCACGATTTGAAAATAAGACCATTATTATTGGTTGTATTTAACAATATTTGATAATACAATCGATGAATCGTCTTTCAGTTTATCTAAATTTCGTCATTTAATCTTAATCACTTTGTCTAGAAATCGTGTCATTTATTTGCGAAATACTGAAATTGATATAGACTTTTATAGAACTTACACGAAGTTCTATTTAAAATTCCACTTCGTATTATTTTCGTTCTATTTTTAACTATTGTAAAATCTTAAACAGTGACTAAATTTCTGCTGATTGTGATATTTCAAATCATAATTTTCCACTGATCGAATTCCACGGTAACCGGTATATAAACTCGTGACTTAAAAATTGATTATCCATGTTACATATATCAGCAGTGGTGAATATTCATATCATATAAATAACTTCCTATCGTCTGTTTACTAATGTTTTGTGTTGACCTGTGACGTCAGCAGTCAATAAAACTGTGCGCATTGATCCGTATTTACACCTGAGGCAATAGATCGTTTTGCGTTGTTGTTGTAAACATTCACTACGCAATGGAGAAGCAGACGGCAGCATGTGAGCTCATTTACCGCGCTGATTTTATCAGAAAGCGAAGAGTAAGAAAGGTAAGAAAATAACTTTTTAATAATATAAATTCTTTTTCCATCAGTTTGTATATTTCGTTTGGGATGACATGAATTTTATCGACTTTTTTTTCTACTTTCACGCTTGTCGACATATTGCGTAACGGGTTACACAATTAGTACTTTTCCTTAAGTTTGCAGGGGGAAACAATATACAGGAAGGACATGATGTTAAAATAGTAAATTTATTTAAATATGCAGATTTAGTGGTTTGCATTATGTGTTATCCCGAAATGTCACTCGTGATAGTAAGCGGGCCGGTTAAAAAAGGGGGAGGGTACTATCGACTCCTTTTGGTAAATTAGTTAAAAAGGAAAGAAACTTACGCTATCCTGTAAGCCCTCTGATTCAATAAATGACTTGTGAGTGAGGGGATGTCAGTAACTCATTGTTTCCAGCATATTGTATTTTGTTGGATTGTATTTCCTTTTTGCGTTATTTTGAAAATTAAAAAATTCGATCATATGAAAAAAAATATTGTGAAGAATTTCAAATGGAGCTGTACCTCACTTCCTGCAAATGCGTCCATTTGCCGCATCAATACATTCAATGATCAAATTACATATCAACTCTGCCCCCCCCCCCCCCCCCTTTTTAACCTCCTCTCTACTTTTATATTTTTTATTTTTTTCTATTCAGTACGATTTGCAACTTCTATTTAATTTGTATTGATTGTTTTCCAGGGTCGAGTTGAGTACTTGGTAAAATGGAAAGGCTATCCAAACAGGTATGTATAAGTTCTCACACAAGGAAGTTTAGTATTATACATGTGTCTAAATCCGGTTATTTTACACATTTGTATGATAAAAATAAACAAATTGATTGATACTTATGATTTATTGATGATCATATGTTTTATATACGATATAATGATGTTGATTGCATTGCGGATTGTTAAATATAAAGTATCAAAGTCGATAAAAGCTATAAATTAGAACATTACCATTCTATATATTAATTGAAATATCATGAGAAGGCGTTTATGTCATGGTAAACGTACGCAGAAAAATGATTAAAGATCATTAGGTGATGAAACATCTCAGTTATACATTGTTATGGAATGGAACATTTATTATGAATAATTTCAACAAGCTGCGAAAATTGATTTAAACAACACTTTTTTGTAGTATATTTTTTTTCAGAAATATCCGTTTTTATGCTCTTCAACTTCGTATTTGATTTGCACTTGCAAACTGTTTTGATTCGAGCGCCACGTATGAGTCTAATGAAGACGAAACACGCCACTGCGTACCAAAATATAAACCTGGTATCTTTGAGGATATTTTAGTATACAAACTTTGATATTAAATAGATTTGATTTGCACTTGCAAACTGTTTTAATTCGAGCGCCAAGTATGAGTCTAATGTAGACGAAACGCGCTTCTGCGTACCAAATTATAAACCTGGTATATTCTTTGATGAGATTTTTAGTACACAAACTTAAATATTAAATGAGATACTTGAACGTTGCAATAAGGTGATATCAATATTTGGGAACGTTTATGCACATTCTCTAGTGCTTATGTCTCAATAGCTCAAAGTTGGTTAAGTACTGACGTAGATTTTTTAATAAAGTTAATTTTAAAATACTTCAACGTCTATGCAATTGACCACAAAAAAGGAAAGTAAAATATCGGGTTTTTTTTACTTTCAGTATTAAAAATAAACAAATTGGATTGCGTTAAATTCCCACTACTTTCGTAATATCGACTAACGAAAGAGTATTTAGGACTAGACTAGATGTCAATCGCGTGTTGCTACAGTATACAGAAACGTATTTCATGTACAAGTATATCAAATAAAATAGTATCGCATATTATTTCTACAGTATATTTGTACTAGTCAACCTGTAAAAACTACTCGATCTTTTCCGCATAATCAAAGTTTTCGATGTCTTAATTAGACATGATTCATCCGTAGTAAAACCTCATTGCCTTTTCTAACGACGTGCACATTGCTTAAAAATAGACAAAACTTTGTTGATTGTTGAACAATATACGAGCATTTCATAGCCAAATATTTAACTTGACGATTGTTTATGTGTTTTTTTTAATAAATCGATTTGTTACAATAAATTGCTGGTATTTAATAACCATCTATTTTTATGTTTCTTGGTATATGTATAAATAAGACAAATAAGTAGCTTATGGTGAAATTAAACTAAACATGTATCCTGTTTACAATAAACCTTCCTTCAGCTTAAAATTTCAAAATTGTTTGTCAATACATCGGACTTTATTAGTTGTTGATTTGTCAACATGTTTCATAGTTTTCGGTTTCACTTAAAGGTCAATTAAATATCCCACTATTGGAATCATTAACGTTTACGTGGGTGAAGGCGAAAGAGTAAATAGATTTCAATCAGAAAGTAGTCCAGTATGCCTCTTTAATCCATAACGTCACCATGTGGCCATGCACTTTACGCCCGTTGTTGCGATTTCTGCATTTCAAGAGTGGTCGTTAGGTTAACCTCGATGAAATTCAAGACCGCGGTTTCTTTTCATACGAAAAAGTGAAAAAAATGTCGTCTTTCGAGTCCGTCGTTAAGACATCTATGGAAATAATATGTCACATTATAACTCCATGTGCTGGTGTATATACGGTTGCTGCCCTTCCGTTCGGTACACCCACTGAATATACTATAAATACTTGCCACAGACGTTAAGCAGACAGCAACCAATCATTCAGATAGTTTGCCTGAGCGATTGATTATTTATAGCCAATCATTTTTAAATAAAGAAAATTTTAAAAGTGAACCAGACGTAGACTAGGCGTTCATTTTTTTTTATTTGTACTTGGGTTGCACTCAAACGAAAACTTTAGAGGTACCAGCAGTTTACCGATGTTCAAATCTCTTACATATATTCAGAACATACAGCTCGAGGTTAATAACAAAACCCAAGGGGAAGGAATACACCCTAATATTACTTTCATGGATGTTCGCTCTTCTCAAAAAGGAGCGAACACGGTTGCGTCGACAGGGTAAGAGGCACCTGCTGTGCTGGTATCACACGCCGTGCGCATCCACGAAGTCAAAATGCAAAAATAGAGATATAGGTCACAAAGGACACATTAGGTTGATATACAGATCAAACGACAGTATGGAATCTAAATTTCAAAGCCCGTGAAAAACATGTTCGCTAAAGTAAGCGGGATCTCATATTATTAGAAAAATTTCAACACACTAATAAAAAGAATCTTGGCGTCATGGTCAAACAGCGCAGTCACAAAAAAATCTTTAAGTCTCGACCGAAATACATGTATACATATATAGATGTATACATATAAACATGAAAAGAGACATCGCATCCCATTCAAAGCTGCCATTGTAGTCGGAAAAGACCAAACGAGCAGACAGTTCTTTTTAAGTACCTGTTCACAAAAAACCACATGTAAATGACTGTCGGATGCACGAGTACTTAAAGGAATTCAATATATAATTTGCTAGTGCACAGGAAAACGAAATAATGATACATATACATATATATATTTTATTTTCTTGGGTAAATAATTTGTACAGTTTTTACACACGGCGAAACTTATTAATAAATTACATTTTATATTGTAAGTTAAATGTAGGCGTCCACATTGTATAATTGTCGCTAGCACATCTTCGTTTATTGATCGATTTTGTACTTATACGTCCTTGTGAAGAAAAAATCGCCTACAAATAAAATAATCTGATTAAGGAATAAAAGTTATGATAGCGTTGTTATATCCCAGAACGTATTTTTAGTAAGCTACTTCGATACCAATACAAAATAGGGGTTCCAAATGTTTCGGACAGATAAACATTAATTGTATTAAGTTCAAGAAGGGTATTTTAGTATCTTTCGCAATTATCTATCCTTAACAAGATATATCTGTTCAATTACAACGAATATCATAGTTAAATATTCTAAATTTTATTCTATTATTATTTTTTTGCGTCGAAACATTCTGGTATTGGTAATGTTCCCAAACCAATGCGTTACAGAAATCTCATGGTTTTTCAGAAATGCTTCAGAAATAAAGACGGAGAAGAAATTAAAAAATGAATCCGGAATTCAGTTTTTTACGAAAACATGTAAATTCTGTATCGAAATATTTCAAGCGCACAATATATACAAATCACTTTCGTTCCACATTATAAACATCAAACACATGTACAATGTACATATGACATATTATTGAGTCAAAGTATTTTAAATCAATCAATATATGAAACTATGTACAAAGATGAAACTATAGTTGCAATGAGTAAACCAAAACAAACATTATATTCTATAGTTTATCTAAGACAATATTTATAAATTCAAGTTGTATCGGAAACTGGGATATTAGTTCGTTGCCATGATAAATAATAAAACGTCGGATATGGTAAAGAGGCGTTTTTCATGTAATGCAATCATTTGGGGTTGAATATCGTTTATTTATATATCTTTATTAACGGAAACTTTTCAACAAATCTAAAACTGTTCTATGCAGCATGACAACGGAATTCTCGCGGAAAATACAACAACTGAAATATCGCGGGAAATAGAGACTCGAGAGAGGGTGGTATAGGCAGCGTGTTTGTGAATTTGTCTCTTGTATCGTTCAAGATTGAAGTATAAGTCTTTTCAATTGTAAGTTCCCCCTTTTCAGACTTGATTGTATGTAACCAGATTCTGGGTTTTTTTAAAAAGAGTTCAAGATTCCAAGAGACAATCAAAAACCATTAGGTCAAAGAGAAATAAAACGTCCAACACCTTTGCAAAGTGCGAGCATAGAGCTAGACCAACTGATTAAATCGCAGAAAAATGGTGGGATATATCACAACAGTACACGAAGCAACAAGGGGACGACCAATTAATTTTTTGAGTTGGGGGCAGGAGGATTTTGAAAACGATAATCCTGGCCTGGTAAGAGCTGAAAATAAATAACCTTGCATAAGACAGGATGAAAATGAATTTTCTGCAACACAAAATGCAGGAAACGGTTGTGTACAAAAGTGAAAATAAATTTTCGCGCGGCAAAGCTAAGAAAAACTCAAAATTATTTTTATACGATTGCGTGTACAAGTTAAATACATGTATTAAAGTAATAATTATGTAATGTGTTGAAGTAGAAAATTCCAGTTTGAACCACAAAATTCTGCACGTAGGTGTTCAATTACATCTCCTGAAGACATTAAACAAAACATATGCATTTTTGAAACATCCTATTTACCACAGAACTATTATATATATATAAATTATCCACCCTGTAAATGACCACAAAATATTTACCTTTCTATAAACGGTTTAAATACCATAATTGATTTATGAACAAATATTCGAGTTATCATATTTAAATACACAATTTACACGTGTACATATATATAGATTTAGACTATGCGTATATATTGACATTTGTACATGCATTATGTTGCCGGAAAATTATGTTTCATAATTTGATTTAATTGAGACATCCCATTAAAAGTTTCTGCGTAAAATTCTAATCACTTCTGTCATGTCTTAATCAAATTTGCTAGGAAAGATTATATAATACATACATGTCAATCTTCCGTTAGTTAATAGAGTTCTGCTAAGCACAAAAAGGTTAGACCAGGTCTAGTACATGCATGTGGACTCGACACAATGTGGTCGAAAGGGATCACGGTAAAAATCTTTTAGTGTGTCAGTAGAATTTCAGACAATTAAGTTATTCGTTAGGTCAGTCTTAAAAACTTCGATTATGATAAAATCCTGAACATTACAACAAATACGATATGTTTGTTTTAATTTGTACATGCGGTATTAGAAAATTTTAAGGTGATCGACTGACAATTGAAATAAATGTTCATTTGTGTTCTTTCCCTCAACCATAAATTTTGTTTGTCTTCAGTATGACTGAAATATTTGCTGCTAGACATTACAATCATTGGATCGAAGTGTTTTTCTTATTTACCAATCACATTACCGAAAGAACATTGCCATATATAAACTTATCTCCGTACAGGGGAATCGCTTTAAATTAAATGCTGTATAATCTTTTTTTCCAGGGACAGCACGTGGGAACCGGAGAAAAATATCCTTGACCGGACGCTGATTCTTGATTATAATCAACGGTAAGTCATGGGAGCGTTTGAATATTGTCTTCATCAACCTACAACCGATTTGTTTGTTGATCGTAAAGAATTCCTCTGACGTGTCTTCTTGTTAATCTTGTTTTATTTATTTTGTTGTATTGACGTAGTTCATAGTAAATGGCCTTCGGAATCACACATAGGGATTCATACATAAATGCTTTAGGATTAGACGAGTTGTGTTTTTTTTTTTCTGAATGAGAGTTAATTGATTACATATTTTTAAAACGAGATCGGACGAGTGCAATAAAGTCAGCGACGAAAATGGATAATTATATCAATTATATTTATTAACAAAACATACAGTATGAGATAAATAAAATTATGCGATAATCTATATTAAGCCTTTATGGAGTGCTCGTACATGTATTTATATAAATATATAATGAACACAAATGTATAGCTATCGGATCATTCAAGCTAGATTATTAACAGTATTTGAAATACTATCACAAGTAACGAAATTCAAAGCGTCAGTCTAAAAGAAATAGACCAACATCATTGTCGATAGAAATTAGTCACAATATTAAAAAAATGTGCCGAATGGACTGTGTCAAATTGACTCAAATTCTCATATTTGATTAATAACAATGTAAAACATTTATCCAAATTATTAAAAGTCTAAAATAAACAATTTACAGAGCATGGGCTCGATAATACGTAGCTTCGTTTCGTGTGTATTTTAGTCTAGACGCCATCTAAATAACTATCGAGTTGACCTCCGAAAACCACCGATGGCCATATAAGGTATATAAACATAAATATAGATATAAATAGATTAAGCTAACTCGTGCAATTGGATTTTTATAGGTCTATTTAATTTCATATTATAGATTAAAAATATATGTTAATCATCTTTTTTACCTGTATAAGAATGATTTTTTGTCGATCGAATCAGTCAATCAAATGATTTACCTTTGTTTCACTTTCAATGTTGACATTCTTTTCCTTTAAATGACTGATCACGCACGATTCATGCGTTATCCATCTCTAGCTAAGGGGTTAAATTGAAGTTCACATGAATACGGATTCAATGAGGTCGAATTATTCACTTGCAAGTGAATAATTAATCTTCAATGTTTCTTAGCTTATTTTGTCAAAATTGAACCATACTTGCTGCTAAAAGCGAATTATTAGTTCACTATTTCACTTTCATTAATGATTGAACAGAAAAAATCCTAAATGTCGCAGCTTACTGACAATTAAAGAACAGAAACCCAAATTGACAAAGATTGAACATTATCTTAATGTCGAGTATACATGCAAATTACAAACAACACTGAAAACTAAACTTTTAGCAGCACGAACTCGCGTATAATACAGTCTCACAACAACACCAAAAAAAAAACAACTGTGCGGATAAGAGATTAATTAGATAGAGGCGAAAGGGAAACAGATCACATCATTCCAAAAAGCAAGTTTCTGCTGTAATCAAAAAGACTATATGTTTGTTTGCTAGCGCTTCTCAAATTCAGAATACAATATTGCAATATTTAAAAGATATCATTTTCAGTATAGATAACGTATTCTACACTAAAACTGAGAAAAAAAGATGGGTCTTTTTTTTAAATGGATTCTTGGCTGGCGGAAAAGATGTCTGCATGTTTTTTTAATGAAATGTAAAGTTTAAAATGAACGTTCAAACAATTGGAAAATTATGTAAGAAATGCCAAGACTTTGAATTTATTTTTACCTGGTGTTTTTAAGATGCAAATTCAGTTATACTTATGTGAGAAAGGTAGAGGTTGTTGTGCAAAAACAGGTTTATCCTAAGGAAATCGTAGAAGGGACACAGAATTAACAGTTAACAAGCATTTTGAGAGTATTGCCATGCAATACATAGTCCCCTACCGGTTAAGAATTCGTTGTACTGGAGCAAAATGCTAACTTGATCTATAACTTTGCATGGTGTAAACTATATAACAAATATCAATTCAATATCTTTAAGCATGACGGAAAAAAGTGTGGAAAACTGATTATTGGAGTGAATTTTCTTAGTCTAAGGACCATAACTCTGCACAAAATCATCAGACCGGAACAAAATTCGAGCTTGATATGTAACTTGTCATGATAAAACTATATAACAATTATTAAATCAGTATCTTCAAGCACGAAGAAAAAACTGATTTTCCGGGCTGACGGATGAACAGACAGACAGACAGGCAGACAGACGGGCAGAGTGCAAAACTAAAGTCCTCTTCGACTTCGTCGGTAGGGGACTAAAAACGAGAGAATCGAACTTTCTTGACAATTGTCGAGCGTCTATTTACTGTTTTGAGTGCAGACAATACGTCAAAATGAGTTTGAGGACGAAGAACAAATATCTGACACAAGCAACAAATTATATCGATTGACAAGGGCATTCATGTAGAGACAGAAGCAACCATTTGCGAAATATTTGTACTCAGGATAGGTTAATAACCATGAGACGAAAATAAAATATTTTAGCTTGTCAATGACCCCTTTTACTTCGATCGTTGATACACTAACATTTTGAAAACAAATTGCAGTGATAGCTTTTAGTTTTACTTTTTGGAATCAACTGCATTATTTTCTGCGATATTTGTTTCTTTTGATCTTTTTTTCCATTAAATGTGTCATCTGTTAATACAAACATTAGTCATTCGTATAATTAATAATTGATATCGAGTCGTGATTTAGACTTGCGTGTTTGACCATATTATACACCGATTTGTTTATCTTTGTCATATACTTTTTTGGGTCATGCATCGGCGAAATTATTAGGAATGGTTAAAATAAACTTGTCAAAATAAGGATTACAATGTCGGAAAAAAATCTACTTCATCATGATGATGCGAATACATGAATATCTTGATAGATTCTCAATGAAAATAACATTTAATTTTGTGCGGCCGAAGCGCTTCTCTATATTTACCTTCATCAGAAACGCTCAAACCTCAAAATTTGAAAACCAGGGATGTATAACTACGGAGAAACATTCGGATCTATATGACAGAAAATAAGGACCTTAAATAATAGAAAAAAAATTATAAGAATATAAATTCGGACTAATTTCGAATGAAACATGCATTAATTATATTTTACTCTTTGGGATATAAAAATTTGAAATTGTATGCATAATAATGCAACACTATATATATATGTAAAAAATATAACACATTTGGGTAACTAAATTTGGTCGTCAACTTTTAATATACACATATTTATGATAAGGAAGTATAATGTACCTTGTAAATGATCATATAGATAAAGAGGTATTTAAAACCTCAGATACCGAGCCCATTGGCCCATTTTCAACCTTTAAATTTCCAAATATATAAAAAGTTAAAATATGAAACCTTGTTGAAACTGAGAATGATTAGTTTTCCTGGTGTTTAAACTTCCCGTTTCCTTATTGACCAGGTTTTATAGTCATCTTGATTGTTGATACTTGTGTGTATTTTTTGCAATTCACTATGATGAAATAAATAGATTATATATTACATCAGTTTGTATATAAATTTTAATGACATACAAATGTATGTGTATTCTAAAAGGAGAACAATTGGGTCACTTATTCCAACCTATTTAAAATTTATTATTTCTTTGTCAGTATTTCTTCAGCTATATGGAAAGTTAAAATCACGAAAGACCTATAAATCCCTTTTGTATTGCGACAATTTCCCGCTCAGAAAACCGTGATACGTATTTATATACATAGTTTACCTAATCATACAAAATGTGATCGCCCCAAAATTTCCACGCCCCTTTAGTCATACACACAACGCCCTCTGCATTTATGTTCAATGTTTAAAATCATTTGTAATATGTAAATTGTAAAAGGTTAAAGAGTATTTTTTTTTGTATTTTAGGCAGAACAGAAGAAAGATTGGAAAACGCAGAAAGAGTGAGGTGAGCAGCTATTATATATGTTATATATTATAAGCGTACCCTCTCGCTTAAATATAAACGATCTTTGAGAGACTGTCGCGCTATGGATATGATATAGTCGCTTTAAGTCACTGTTGCGCTTTATACATTCTAAAGTCGCATTGAGTGGGTGTCTCGCTTTAGACATTCTATAGTCACTTTGAGTGGTTGTCGCGCTATGGATATGCTATAGTCGTTTTAAGTCACTGTCGCGCTTTATACATTCTAAAGTCGCTTTGAGTGGGTGTCTCGCTTTAGACATTGTATAGTCGCTTTGAGTGACTAACGCTTTAGACATTCTATAGTTGCTTTGAGTGACTAACGCTTTAGACATTCTATAGTTGGTTTGAGTGACTAACGCTTAAGACATTATATAGTCACTTTGAGAGAGTGTCGCGCTCTAGACATTCTATAGTCACTTTGAGAGAGTGTCGCGCTCTAGACATTATATAGTCACTTTGAGTGACTGTCGTGCTCCAGACATTCTATAGTCACTTTGAGTGAGTGTTGCGGTTTAGACATTCTATAGTCACTTTGAGTGAGTGTCACGTTTAGACATTTTATAGTCGCTTTGAGTGATTGTCGCGCTTTATACATACTATATTCGCTTTGAACATTCTATAGTCAGAATTATTTCAATAACTTGTATACACGTTGCGAGTCTGAATTGTTTTAATAACTTAGTTGTATACACGTTGCGCGTCAGAATTATTTTGATAACTTGTAAACACGTTGTGAGTCAGAACTATTTTAATAACTTAACTGTATTCACGTTGCGAGTCTGGATTATTTTAATAATTTGTATACACGTTGCGAGTCGGAACTTTTTTAATAACTTAATTGTATACACGTTGTGAGTCTGAATTATTTTGATAACTTGTATACACATTGTGAGTCAGAACTATTTTAATAACTTAACTGTATACACGTTCCGAGTCTGGATTATTTTAATAATTTGTATACACGTTGCGAGTCGGAACTATTTTAATAACTTAATTGTATACACGTTGCGAGTCTGAATTATTTTTGATAACTTGTATACACGTTGCGAGTCAGAACTATTTAAATAACTTAACTGTATACACGTTCCGAGTCTGGATTATTTTAATAATTTGTATACACGTTGCGAGTCGGAACTATTTTAATAACTTAATTGTATACACGTTGCGAGTCTGAATTATTTTGATAACTTGTATACACGTTGCGAGTCAGAACTATTTTAATAACTTAATTGTATACACGTTGCGAGTCTGGATTATTTTAATAACTTGTATATACGTTGCGAGTCAGAACTAGTTTATTAACTTGTATACACGTTGCGAGTCAGAACTATTTTAATAACTTGTATACACGTTGCGAGTCAGAACAAATAATGATTTCTTAACGCGTTCCGAGTAAGAATTATTCGTCATATATACACGTTGCGATAATGTTGTCTGAAACTCAGTCTTGATGTCACTTAAAATACACTTTCATATTAACTCCTCTTTCTTTATATAGATATATGTCACACACACAACGAATAACTATATTGATTATCTCATCTGATATGATTTTTAAGTGTATTGAGGTGAAATAAAAACTAAAGAAACAATCCTTAACTCGTGCAATACAATTAATCAAATTCCATAAAAGGAAAATAATGATGAAGATACCATGCCAGTGAGAACAGCGTGATCAGCTGTTTTGTGAAGGACGATCACTCCTTGTTTTGATGACCGTATGTCATTTGTCGTCTAGATGAGAATAACTTAGAACACATTATCGCAGTTCACATGTTTAACCGCACTTGGAATTGAAATTGAAGCAATTTATGATATGTCGACACTATAAATCAAGAAAAGACTTATAAATACGGAAGACACAGATGATGCAGTCCATCCACACTTGGATTTTTGTTTTGATGAAGAAAAAATTAATCCATTTATACACAAGTATAAAAAGTTTACATGTTTAGGAAAAGACAACGATATTAACTGAAATGTAAAATTAAGGATTATGTTGAGGCAGCGGTCATTTATTTTCTATTTTATATGGGGGTAAAAAGGAGGGTGATTTTGAAAACAAAATTGTTTGATTCTTGACTCATTTTATACGACCGCAAAAATTAAAAATTTTTTGGTCGTATATTGGTATGACGTTGGCGTCGTCGTCGTCGTCGTCGCCGTCGTCGTCCGAAGACACATTGGTTTTCGCACTCTAACTTTAGTTTAAGTGAATGGATCTCCATGAAATTTTACCATAAGGTTCAATACCACAAAAGGAAGGTTGGGATTGATTTTGGGGGTTATGGTACCAACAGTTAAGGAATTAGGGACATTTTGTAACTTCCAGACATAACTTGTGTGTTAGTGTATGGATCTCTCTGACATTGTACCACAAGGTTCCATATCACAAAGGGAATGCTGGGATTGATTTTGGGGGTAATTGCCGCAAAATTTTAGGAATTAGGGTCCAAAAAAGGGGCAAAAAACAAGCATTTTTCTAGTTTCATGATAATAACTTGTGTGTAAGTATATGGATTTTTCTGAAATTGAACTACAAGGTTCCATATCACAAAGGGAAAGCTGGAATTGAGTTTGGGGGTAATTGCCCAAAACGTTTAGGAATAAGGGGCCAAAAATAGCATTTTTCTAGTTTCCAGACAATAACTTGTGTTCAAGTGTATGGATCTCTCTGAAATTGTACTGCAAGGTACCATACCACAAAGGGAATGCTGGGATTGATTTTGGGGGTAATTGCCTCAAAATTTTAGGAATTAGGGGCCAAAAAGGGGCAAAAAACAAGCATTTTTCTAGTTTCAGGACAATAACTTGTGTGTAAGTGTATGGATCTTTATGAAATAGTACTACAAGGTTCCATATCACAAGAGGAAAGCTGGGTTTGAGTTTGGGGGTAATTGCCCTTAATGTTTAGGAATTTGGGGCCAAAAAGGGGCAAAAAAAAAGTTTTTTTCTAGTTTCCAGACAATAACTTGTGTTCAAGTGTATGGATCTCTCTGAAATTGTACTGCAAGGTACCATACCACAAAGGGAAGGCTGGGATTGAGTTTGGGGTGATGAATCATAAGGGTGTTCAAAAAATTTAGTGGAGGGATTTTTTTTTTCTTTAAAATTTTCCATTTTAAATTGGTTATTTCTGATTTATATATAAAAGCAGGTTTGAATAGGTAAATTAAAAATTTTTAAGTTCTTAGACCACATTCATTCTGTGTCAGAAACCTATGCTGTGTCAAATATTTAATCACAATCCAAATTCAGTGCTGTATCAAGCTTGAATGTTGTGTCCATACTTGCCCCAACTGTTCAGGGTTCGACCTCTGCAGTCGTATCAAGCTGCGCCCCAGCGGAACATTTTATTATTATAAGAAATTGTTTCAGAAATGAATTGAAAGATAAAATAAAAATTGATTAAATTTTTTTGTGCATGTGTGTTATTGAAAACAATAGTTATTTGTGATTAAGCTGTAAGAAACATGTGTTCTAAACAAAAAACATATTTCCCATCCACAATAGTTTAATGGGCGCGTGCGGTGCCTTAATATGCCTTAATATCACTGATTACTACAACTGCATGTATTCCTTCAAGGTTGATATTTTCATTTATACATATTCTTTTTCAACACAGGTAGAAAATTTCAAGCCATCTGGATCACCTATCTACCCAGCATTTACAGATGACAAAAATAACAATCGTACCACAAAAGGTTCACACCAAAAACGACATTTCTTATTTGATAAAAGCAATGAAAACGAAGAGAACGATGAAAACATCAAAAATGAACTTCAAGAAGATATTTCTCCGGAGGAAAGCGATGCAGAAAAAATGGATAATGATCCGGAATATAAATTCTTTAATCATTTAAATCTGAGAAAGAACAAAGACTGTGATAGCGTACTGTACAATTCCGACGATTGTTTTGATGAAAAGTCTAAGCGTGATCAAATGTGTTTTGATTGGCTATCAAATCCGATTCGACCGCACGAGGATCAGAAATTAGACGCACGTGAGACTGACATTGCAACGGAATTGAGTCAGAAAGTTTCGTCTGATGCTGATCCTAATGAAAGTGATCAGGAAACGGTTGAGTGGGTTGAAAGTGATTTAGAAATGGACATTGACAATGAAGATCAAAATAAAAAAGAAGATGATTTGAAAGGATTCCCAGACGTTGTTGCTACAGATGTTACATGTAACAGTGTCACTGTAACGTTCTTTGAAAGTCCGTCAAAAATGGGATTTTTCGAATCTGACGAGTGATGAAAATGTGATGAAAATAGTCTTTGGGGAGGAAAACGTGTGAATGTGATAAATATGTCATTTCATAAAATTTATTTTACATTATCAGACCTTATCGACAATCTCTGTATAAATAATGGCGGATTGCCGTCCATTGAACGAACTTTACAACACATTAAAGTGCGTTGAATAGTGCTTACTTGTCTAACTGTTGTTTTAACAGGAAATTCTAAATAGTATGTCAATCCTTCCAAACAGGATTTGAATAAAGATTAAATATTTTATCTCGAGTACAGTTTTATTTTAAGGATATGACTATGTATTCTTATCGTGAATGTTATAATTGTTCTTTAAATCCTAATTTAAAACTTTTGATTTACAAACTTTGTGACCATAAATGTAAACTACTACATTTTGTCGAATTACTAAATAATATGAAATTTCCCGCGTAAATTTCCACTTAAGTCACATTTTGTTGTTACTGTATTGTCGTAAAATAGACTGCTAAAATGATCCAGTGAAGAACATTGATAATTTTGTAAAATTACATAAAACGTCAGTAGAATGTGCAAAAATAAAGGTAAGATATTTTATTAGTATAAAATCCAAACAATAGGATTGGTACTAAATATAAACAAAAAACAATACAAATATGTAACAGTGACAAAAAAAAAACCTTAAGTATTTTCCTTTTTTTAAATGCTAGACAACATGCCTCTCCTCAAATTAGCATTACAATTATTATATTTGGAACAGTGATAAAAAAAGAAGAAATATGAATAAAAGGAGGTGCAGGGTATATGTCGAAGAAACGGAGATGACACCCAATCAGCACGATAAAATCAGAAAAAATGAACCATAGAATGCTCATCTAGTGTCAAGTTGTCCAAGGGTATGCAATACATCTACTTGTACATATATTTGCATTCATTTGACTACTTAAGCAATTCAATTCATATTCTGCAGCAAATTCGCTGATGAGGTAACGTCTGTTTTGTAGTATCTTCTTTATTCAAATTCACCGTCGCATACGATCGGACTCTCTTGGAATCTGTAATGATATCTGTGTGCTCAGTGTACACATTCAACAGTATTTTTAGAACTCATACATATGCTTGAAAGAGACTTGCGAGTATAGCGTTTCCATTTATTGCACTGTGTTGATTATTTTCAATTGTAGAGTAAAATAAACGACAATGGCTTGGAAATATTTTTCAGGGTTTTTTTTGTAAGCATGAGGTGCATTGTATTGTTTAAATTTATAGTGGTAACAACGCCACATTCATAATTTCAGCAATGGGTATTGTTTAGCCTTAATTAATAGGAATTAGAAATCACATTATATATTTTTCTTGTCCGACAGTTAGTCATTCACATAGAAGCGAATCATGTTTCGATTGGCTTTGCAGGATGTATAAATACAATGTACGTTATAGTAATTTTCGTTCTTAATCGTGACGTTAATGTGGAATATTGTCAAGCCCTCTGTAACCAAAAACAACACATTAGAACAACTCCTGACAAGTTCAGTCGGTGCTGCAATGCAAAGTTGTCTTGCCCTTTAATTCCAACATACTTATTGTTCCTATGGAGATTACAGGTTTCATCCCTTCATTCCATTTTGCAGGACTTAATACAATTGGATGCATTGCGTTGGATTTTTGTCCCTTACTGTGCATGAAACTGTTGCCACAGGACGCGAAGCAAACTATTAGACAATACAAAGTATGATTAGATGTATCGGTTATACATATCTTTTACACATAATGTTTCATATACTTAATTTTCCTTTATTGTGTTTACAACTCGTGCAACTAACACGGTCAATAAGGCTACCGTGTCAACGAAAAACGATCTTGAGCAATCTCCTTTGACCACAATAGGATAAGGGCGCTTACCTAATGTTTGGTCGTTCTGAGCATGCATGAAATATTTGCCACTAGACGTTATGCGACCCCTTATCAATCGTATAGGGGCGCCTACCTAATGTACGATCGTCCTGAACATGCATGAAATATTCGCCACTAGACGTTAAGCGACAACTAATTAATCGTATAAGGGCGCATACCTTATGTACGGTCGTCCTGAACATGCATGAAATATTTGACACTAGACTTTAAGCGACCAATAATCAGTCGTATAAGGGCGCATACATAATATTCCGTCGTCCTGAACATGCATGAAATATTTGCCACTAGACATTAGGCGACCACTAATCAATCGTATAAGGGCTCATACCTAAACTACAGTTGTCCTGAACTTTCATGAAATATTTGCCACTAGACGTTAAGCAACTACTTATTAATCAATCAATCTAATGTAGGGCTTCATACATAACGAACTCCTATTGAGGTTGTAGATGGTTATATTTTGTCTTGTACATAAAAAAATATCTTTTATTTTAAGTACGAAAGAACTACATGGCGAGTGGGTTGAAATAATAAATATGAAAACGACATGAATAATAACTTTATGTATAAGTTTTTAGATTGAATTCACAGTGTTGTGTCATATATGAACACACCATATCCTTTTTTTCCAGAAAGTCATTCACACTATGACTCTTTATCATGTACTTTAATTTCAAACAGTAACTATCTATCATTGAGATAATTGTATAATTTATTGTAAGAAAATATCTGGTATTGAAATGAATCACGATCAGACGAAAACGATTTTACAAGGATAAATAAATAAAAATATCGTCTGATCGCTGAATGACTAAACTAACTGAGTTAATCATTAAGAATTAGAAACTGACTCACAATTACATGAAGTCATTTAGACTTCTAATAGTCTTCAATCACAGACTAATAATAGATTGTCAATAACTCATTAATTAACAGCTTCTGGAAACGTCATAAAATGTATATGTGTATGTGCAAAATATAAACATATTTATGAATACCAAAATAAACTACAAAGGATGATTGTATATATTATAACACATTGTAAATAATTGAAGTAATACACTAAAATACACATTTATAATTATGTATTGATTTTCAATTGTTTACTCCATAAAAGCATGATTTATATATTAGCAGATTGAGTGCTTTGAGTTTGCTTTCAGATTGATTAGGTGAAGGGCGGGAAAGTTATAAAGCTAAAAACAGAGTATTGTAGGATAGGAACACACATTTCGTTTGCCTTCCATAAGGCTATACGGACCCAAAGAGTTCTTACAAGAGTTCTTAAACGTGCATCTAGCGTATGTGAAACTTTACTAATATGAGACGTGATATTAACGTCCCAATTCTAATTGGATGTATCTGAGTATTTACACTTCCCGCACAGACAAACGGACACATCTCATCTTTATTATGTGTTTTACTATCTTATGGAAAAAGTCGAGTGGTGATTCTAATTTTGAACCCCAATCAAGCCTTTTAAGGTTGTTAATGTATACATGAATAAATCATGATTCCTATAGTAACCGAATAAGTGCTTAGAACTAGATGATAGAACTTGTCAGTTTGTCTTCTTGAACACCAATATAGTAGATTAGAGTCAGCTGCTTTTAGGGATTGTTTTATTTTACCTCCTTCTATACATACCTTTTCGAGATTAGAAAAAAGTGGAAGCCGCGGTAAACATCGAAATATGATTACTTGTCTGAATGCTCCAGATCGCGAACCTTGTCAGTCTTTGTCATTTTGTTCATATCTTAGTGTTGACAGATCTATTGTATTTTCATCTATGCGTTAATCTTTCATATATAGGATTACCAGGCTTTGGTTATGGAAAATACACCATGCAAAATTACATTAGTCATTAGTAATGATGAAACTTTATAGGTAACACAGGTAAACTATAGTTATAAAACATTTAAAAATAGAAGGAAAGTATACGACAAGCTCGTCTTGTTCATCACTATTGGATGAAATGATTTGTCAATTATTACGTCTAATATGCGGTACTGAGGTCCAATTTGTAAAGCAAAGAATTATAATGTATCCAGTACTAAAAAATACAATCTGTCTTAACTCGGGACTATGTAGAATGTCTATACTGTTAAGTGCTGAACCTCTGAATCATTTACTTGTATCATTGACATTATACTAACATCTCCTTTCAATTATTGTTATCCATGTAAACATATTAAAAGATACTTTTGTAATGTTTTATTGCCAGATGTGTTACATAAACATAAATATATTAAGGTACTCGAATGCCACGTGCCTAAAGCTAATAAAATTATGAAATATTTAAAGATATATATATATATATATATAGGCGGTGTTGCCACGATGTCACAGAAGCAAGGGTTCGAATCCCGCCGAGGGAAGAAGAAAAATTGGTTAACGCAAATTTGAAGATCTAACAATGTTGGGCTAAATTTGAGACGAGTAATGTATATATTATGGTGTTAGCCCTGTATAACCACGTGTTATCCGATTGAGAATGTCTGTCATAAAGTTGTCACATGTTTAGACGTGTATAATAAAATTAAAATTTGATGTGGCGGCATGGTAATTTACATTATCATCCTTTACGACAGATAAAATAGCTGATCTGAAAGGTACACCATCTACTTGCCACTATACATCATGTACTGTGTTACAACCCTAGATAAAGCCGACGAGGAAAGGCATTACGTCGACCACCAAAAGTTGTATTTTTATGTAGCCTAGATGGTCGAGTGGTCTAGGGCGCTGGACACGGTGCAGGCGGTGTAGTCACGATGTCACAGAAGCAAGGGTTCGAATCCCGCTGAGGGAAGAACAAAAATGTGTTAACGCAAATTTGAAGATCTAACATTGCTGGGCTAAATTTGAGACGAGTTATATATGTTGTGTACAAGATGTAAGTTTGTACAAATTGTAATTTGTACAGGGTTTTTGTACAAGTTATACGTTTTTTGACACATACCTTTTTGCACCAGGTGATAAAAGTTTATCTTTTAAAATATATCAGTTTAATGTCTTAAATTCAAATTTATATATACTTCAGCCCAACATTTAGTGCTATTCTCCTTGTCCTCAAACTGGAAATAAGGACACCTGAATGGCTTAAGTTCTAATTTTATTTTTCTCCTTATACCACAATCATATCCATTAAAAGTTCTTTTGTGTTCTTATAGTGTTTTTTGTATCAATGCTCAGTATGAGACTGTATCATGTAGTTATGGAAATATGACAGAAATATGCGAAACAAAAGACTGTGTGCTTGCATCATCCATTTGTGTTAAGCGGTTCATAAAACAGTGATAACTTGTACAAAAAATCTGTACAAATTATAACTTGTACAAAATTACAATTTGTACACAACATATATATATAAT